GCAGGAATAAATGTAATGAGCTTTTATATTTTTTCATAGGTGCTGTTAACCTTCTCTTTGCAATCACAGGATCATTTGTTTTTTCATTACTGTCTACTGAAGAATGATGCCAAACATTTTTAGTTTTCAAGATGAAAAGGACACTACAAATGTCAACAGGGACAACCAAAAGGGGAAATGCATTGCTAGCCTTCAACAGGCCATAGAAAAGCCATCAGACTGACACAAATTTGATGCTGAATTACGACTCCATTTTCTGTAGAATCTCCCGTTGATGGCTGGGTGCACAACACCTCCGTCTCAACAACTTCCCAACCATAAACACCTTTCCTTTTCAATCCCAACCCACATGTTACTTCTAAAAAAAAAGGAAAATGAACACACCAGATAAACCTATTGTATGACAATAGCTGAGATGTTATGTCCAAGCTTCAGTGGGAAGCTAGTGTGCCTACACCATACTTATCTTAATACTGCAGTTGAAAAACAATGTTCTTAGGATGGATAAAAAAAGAATGGGAAAAGTTGCAGAGAAATATATCCTGCAATGCCCCCCAAAAGCCTGCAAATAGTTTCTCACTGGTACTAAGACTAGTAAGGACACTCACTTTGTGCATGAACTGTAGTTAATGGATTGAAAGCAGGTTACTCAAAATGAGGAAACTCATTTTACAGATGTATGTAACAGCAAGTATTTGCAGGAAAGGAAAATGAAATAAATGGAAGGTCTGACTGACAGAACTGCAGTTTGAGCCCTGGCCCAATTTTAAAAGCTTGGGAAAAAATGCCACAGATCACTTCATGAGCTGTGCAGAGCTCTGGTCACAGGCTATGAGAGGCACTGAGATTCAGGGACCATGTGCCCAGGGAACCCATTTCTGGCAAGCCTCCCACGACTGTGAGTCTGGAAAGAGCAGAGTGAATTTAGAAGGACAGCTGTGCATGTGTTCTCACCCAGTTCAAGCAAGTTATCACCCACCTACTTGTGGGAAGGGGAAGAAAACTCGGCACAGGGATGTCTCTGATGGGCAAAGGAAACCAAACCAAGCAAGAGAAAAGCTCTCTGAGAAATATTACTGGAAGGCAAAAGTTCCTAAGAAGATTCCTTTATAAAGGCAAAAGGCATAAAAAGTCCATGTTGTCCAGACATAAAAGATGTTTTCCTCTTCCAAAAATCTGCTCAGACAGCAGATTCAGTTCTCGAGCTGCACTGAACCAGATGTGACTTAGCACAGCAGGCCCAAGTCCTTTGGATATCTTAAGGAGGAATGAATTATACCAAGGTCCTACTCTCTTCTATTTACAATAGCCACACACAGTAGAGGAAAAGATTTTATTTTCAGCATAACAACTAAAAAAAAATAAAATAGAAAAAACAAGATTTTTTTTTCCCCCTTAGGTATACTAGGAATTCTCCAGCACCAAATCTTTCATTTCACCTGAAAGTAAAATATAAGAAGATAATTACAGAAAGAGCTGCAGCAAGAAGAGAAAGCCAGCTTTCTTTACAAAAATATGGATTATTGCAGGGTAGTTTGTACATTTATCTTTCTTACTAACTTCAAGTTTCACTGCAGCAGGCTGGATATCGAGGACTTACAGCTAGTACTAAAATCAAACAGAAGAATTGAGCAATTCACCCTGATAAACATATGGGATGCTTATTCATACCTGATTGGGTCAGATAAGAAGCAAAGGCCCCAGGCAAGCTTGACTTTTTGCCAGAAAGAAAGTGCAGCTATTGCTCTCTTGAACGTAACAGGGATGGGTCGGTCTCCAAGATGGAATTTACAGAAAGGTACTTTACTGGCCTGAAAGAGAAGATACAAATCACTAGTCAGCATTTCATCCTGCAGCACAGTACATCCTTATGAAGGGAACTTTTGTTTTATTGTGTTACACAAGGCATCTTAAAAGCAGAGCAAGTAATGTCACACTTGAACACTGAAAAAATGTTTTGCCTTTGCAGTAAATAAAATTTTGAAAATACTACTTCATAAGGGAATACATCATCCACAAGATTATTACAAGGTACAAGCTACAAGGGTATTACAGTAGAAACATCAAGTACAAGATTATTACAAGGTACAAGCTACAGTAAAAACATCAAGCTGTCATGCCACTCTCTTTAGGTTACTTTTTACCTCAGCAGAAAGCTCTTGCCTAAGACTACTTAGGGTGAACAGATAGGGCTCAATATCTATATCTGGGTCTGAACAGAGTCTGAAATGAAACAAACGTGGCCATTTTGCTTTTACTCTAGATTCTTTAACAGCTACATTACCTCAGATTTCCTTACTAGTATCTAACTTACATACAAATAGCAAGATACCTTCTGCAGGGTGGATGCACACAGTGAAAATTGTGTCAGTATTCCCAGACAAAAACCAAGTAGCTGTGATACACAGAGAAGTCCAGTTACTATTTACTTTGCAGGATCACAGCTGGCAGTAGTACAAAAGGGAATGTTAAGAGACCAGGTAGGACTAACAGACCAGACAGATATTTCACTTCCTCAATCTTTCCACCTGAATGTGTTGGGTCTCATTAATGCTTTAGAGTTGGTTTTCACAGCCTGAAAGCCTGACACCATCAACCATGGGACCACAATCCACATCCAGAATTCAAACCCAATTATTTAACAGGAACAAAGTAAATAAATTATTAATGAAATGAAAACAAATCCCACCAAATACATAATCAGAAAAACACCCTCATTTGAAGCCCTTTTGGAGCTGCTCTCATGCCATTTACAGCTACAAACCTCTGTACTTTCAAGTACACTTTGAAGTTAAAGATGATTCTTACTACTACTTCATTGGCTTCAGCACACATATGGCCAGAGTGCTCTTTTCTGGTCACTAACAAATGTGGGTGGTTTTTTGTTTGGTTGGTTTGGGTGGTGGGTTTTTTCCCCCATTTTTAGTTCAACTCTGGGAGCAAAAGGCCAGCAATCTGATCTCAGAAAACACATTTCAAGTTCACACCTCTTTGAAAGCCTCCCTGAATTCTCCTCCTGGGGCCATTCCCAGCTGTTCTGTGATGTGAGCAGAAACCTTCAGAAGCAGCATCTGCATCAATCCAGACATGACTCCATTCTGGCAGAAGAGGGAGAAAAACATTAAGAAATTAAAAAAAAAAAAAA